TTGATGAGCTGTGAAACAGCAAACTGTCTGTGAATGACAATAAATATATATATATATATATATATATATATATATATATATATATAAACTCTCTGTGAATGACAATATATATATTTTGAAAGTGGCAATATAAATATTTGTACACTTGAAAAATTGAGTATATATATATATATATATAATGAAATGGACTAAATCTGACAATTATTTTAATATATTTTCTGTTTATATGTTATTTTTATAGATACAATTATTTAAGTAAATGCTCTGTTTATAATAAACTGTATTATTAACTACATTTACAGGACTGAATGTCTGAGAAATTTCATAGAAAATATGTCCTCTGACAGGAATCAAACCTCTATCCTACATGGATTGTCATTTGGCCTGACATGCTATACGATTTAGCTATAGAGGAAGTTTCTGGTTAGCAAAGTCAAATTGCTGTTTTTAAACAACAAATTTCCCATGATTTTTCTCAAATGATCATATCTGCTTGAAGTTTATCTTAGCAGATATAGAAATATATCTTAAATATTTGTATCTATAAAAGTAACATAAACAGAAAATATATTTATATATATATATATATATATATATATATATATATGAACAATGGATTTTATCAAGTCAAATAGATAAAGTCCGTTGAATGACAAAGCGCATCGGCTAAACTAAGTATAATTTTCCTCTTTTCATTCATTTTGTCTCTTCTTCAGATATAGTCAATCTGAGAACACGCACACACATACACACACACACACACACACATATATATATATATATATGTAAGCAAATATATGGATATAAATCCGACAGTATGAAAGAAAAATACAGAAAAAACAAAAATCTGAATATGCATTTATGTAGTATTAATGTTCATTAATACTACATAAATGCATATTCAGATTTTTGTTTTTTCTGTATTTTCTTTCATATATATATATATATATATATATATATATATATATATATATATATTACAGTTCAAAAATTTGAAGCCACCCCCAGAATTAGCATGGGATGAACTTGACAGAAGAGTGAAAGCTTTCCATTTAAAAGAATAGAAAAAAATATCTTAAAATCATTGAAAAAAGAATGGAATCTATTATCAAAGTCATACTTTGAGAAATGTTTGCAACAAATATCAAAAGTTTGTGCTGCAGTAATCAAGGCTAAAGGAGGATATTTTGACAAGAGCAAAATTTAATCATAAAATAAAATGCTTTTTTTCTTTTTTGTCATAATAACTTTTCTAATAAAAAAAAAAAAAATCATTTCTCACCTTTTTAACCATAAGTTTCTCTTATTTAAAATACAAAATAACTACAAAATTGGTCAATTTAAAAAATTACTTTTTGAACTTTAATTTATTAATTTCCACATTCTTTTTTTTTTTAATCCAACCGATTTTTATCACTTTAAATTTTATTTTTAGTGGATATTTGTGTTTGAGTATCTGTTCCGTTTTTTTTTTTAGCAATATTTATTTACGTTAAAGAAATAGGAGCTGTTTAATAATTAAACTGACTGTCTCACTGTCTACTTAGATGTTTCAAATATTTAATTTAAATATTAACTTTAAAAAAAAAAAAAAATTAATTTGAAATTTTGTAAGAATATGCTTTAGCATATATCATGTGGTATTTGAACACTTGAAATTATTATTTTTTATATTTGTCATAGAGTGTTTATGAAAAAGTAAATAAATGAAAAAATAAATACCCTAAGTAAGTCGACATCAATTGCAACCTTTGATTTTTTTTTTTTTTTTGCATGAATTTTATTTTTAACCCCTCCAGAAAAAAATTACCTGTGTATAGTGCACCGGTCACTTAAAACATGTATGTTCTCTTAAGAAAAAATCACCTGTGTAGTGTAGTGTGACCCCTTATTTATTTATTTATTTTTTATTTTATTTTATTTTATTTTTGTGTATGTAAAAATTCGCACTACACTTGATACACAATATATGGTAAATTAAATTAGGAAAAATAAAACTAACAGCTTAAAAATGACGCCAAAGTTTAATTATTTATTTTTGGACCAATCAGAGAAGTTGCTTGTTTTGTTTAATCAATTGGTGATGACGACATTGGGATTTTCTTTTTACAAGGTAGAAGAAAAAGAAGAGCGATCTAATGTGGTTGACCGTCACGAATGAGTAGCGAATTTTATACTCGTGCTAAACTACGTTAAAGTTTAACAACGACAATACGTCAAATGACGAAATAATAATAATAAGTATGTCTTCTTAATCGTATCTGCTTAGCAGCTAAGCCTTAGCTATTTATTTAGCCCTGAACAAAAAAAAACAAAAAACAAAACAATCGTGTGAATTGCGATCTTTCTAGTCAAGAGTTAAAAACGGAGGCTCTAAATTTCGCTACAAACTGAAAACTTCTACCCAGTTCATAGCGGACCATATACCCGCCTTTGTATAGAAAATAAATTAATTATTACGCGTCAGGACAACCTTACAATCGAATTGACGAACATTTGCCAAGGCAGTAAAAAACAAACAAGTCAATAAAAACAACGGATTGAGTTTCGAAACGTTGTCGTAGTTTCTTCTTAATCAACATTATTATTTGTGAACTTGAATTTATTTCCTTTTTTTCTCCCTTAAGAAACCTGGCAGCAACATGCGGCCCTTTTTATCACCTGGCGCTGGCCTTTTTTTGCAAAAAAGTCATGTTTTAAAGGACAACGTATTTTCTCGAATTTCCAGGATTTTTTCTTTTCATTCGTTCTCTGGAGAATCTCAAGGAAATCTGAAACAAACGAAAACAAAACTTCTTTCGACAAGGACTTCGTCTTCTTCGTGTGGTGAACCTCTCTTCACCCAATCTCTTCATCTGCCTAATAAAAATCCTGCTGAGGGCCAAACCCGTTTCTTGTTTTCTTGGCCTTCGAAAAAAAGTGACTTTATTTTCCGGCAGGTAAGAAAAAAAGAAATTTTTTTTCTCAGTCGTAGAAGACAAGAATTAGATTAAAAATAAATAAATAAAAACAGTTGAGACTGGGTGCTGTAAAATTATTGACCTTGACCCTCCCCGTCACCAGCCCCCCCCCCAAAAAAAAACTTTCTGTTGAAGTGGGTCGGACCGAGAACTTTTCAGCACCCCCTTTGTTGACTTGAATCAACGAATTTTTCTTCTCTATATTGAGAAGAAAAAAAATAATTCCAATGATAAAGATAAAGAAGACAAGACAACACCAAAAATGTTTGTTTTTGTTTGTTTGGTCGTCCATTTCAGCGTTTCAAACAATTTCTTTTTTTTTATTATTCTCCAAACATTTCTCTTTGTTTATATGTGAAAAAAATATCGCCTAGAATGCAGAAAAAAAATTACAATAATTTATTTAATAATTTATTATTTTATAGTTTTTTGTTTTTTATTTGAGGAAATGAAAACTAAAATAAAATGACATTCCTTGAGGCGCGACCCCTCCTCCCCAAATTGTTTTTCAATTTTTATTTTAATGGCCACGAATTTTGAATTCAAAATTTTACTTAGAGAAAAAATAACTGAAATAAAAAAAAATGAATAAATTTACATTTTTCGGACGCATGACTTCAAATGTGGGCACAAAATATGAGGCTAGGTCAAAAAAATTACATTGAATGCAAGGGAGATAAATCAGTATTTGATATAAAAACTGTTTTGAAATGCCGAAATGAACAACACTTTTTTTTTTTTTTTATCTTTTAAGAACTGACTTTTTCAGTAAATTATTTTAAAAACCCTTTCCTTTGGCTTAAAAAGTAATCAAGAACGAAAAGAATGGAAGCAAATAACCGTGATTTTTATTTTATTTTTTTGTTTGTAAATTAATTAAACTGATGTGATATTTTTTTCTTATTTTTGGATTTAATAATGTTTGTCAAGTGCTACGAAAATGAAACTTAATTTTGCTTGTTTTTAAACCACATTCATGTTTGACCTCCAAAAAGATCCTGGTCATCAGTGAATCACTAAGACAAGGTGTGTTTTTTGTTTTGCCTTCACCACACATCATCATCATCATCATTATTATTATTATTATTCATTAAATGAAAATAAAATGAATTCGAAGAGTTTTTTTTATCATTAAACCAGAACGAAATCTGTTACTTATTTATTTTTTTAAATAATCCCTTAGGGCCCGAAAATGTGCTTCTTCGGGGCACTGTTTTCCAAGAAAGCTGTATCTTCTCATTAAAGGTGCAGGGTCGATCAATCCCTGAAGTGGGTGGGGTTCCAAAAAGAGCAAGTGCATTTCAGGCCCGACCGACACGTACGCGTCCACCGCTTCCACCTAAACACAACAATTTTTTTTTTATCCTCGTGGGCGAACCAAAATAAACATCGCTCTAAAAAGCAACCATAATTGTGTCATCGTGACCAGTTCTTTTTTATCGTGTTTTTGCGGTATAGAGACCATCGTCAACTGAAGTTCAGTGACCATAGATCCGTCTCCTGGACAATATCATCCCATATTACAGTTGCACTTAGGGTCGGGGCTTCTGCGGCAAAATCTGAGGAAAACGGGTTATTTCAGCAGGAGTGACAATTCCTTATTTATCAGTCAATTACATTATCACCCCACCATAAAATTCCCGTTTATTCGTCTCTGTGTCGTTTATTTGCGTTATCGTAATTACTTTTTTTTCATGACAGCTTATCTTTTTGTTTCTGTTTGAAAACCGGATAGTGTTCGAGGAGAGGAAATGCAAAACATACGCATTTATTTTCCGCGCAACAGCATTGAATGTTATTGTTAAAATGTTGTTACTGAACCAATATATTATTTTTAACAAGAGTTATGTATTTTATGTTTTCATTGAATATGACTTATCATTTCTTGCTTGCGAGACAGAGGGTTTCTTTCTTTCTAAATGTAAGCTTAATAAAACTGGACCCTTATTTTGTGTATATACTTTTATATTCGAATAGTGAAAGCTTCTTCGCTAGTTCATGACGGCCATAATTTTCAAGTATGGAAGCTTAAAAAGATTAAAAACTAGGAACTCCGTGTTGTTACAAAAATCTCATAACTTTATTTTCGGCAAGAAAAAGAAAATGCAATTTCTTGTAAAACCTTCCATACTTTAGAATTATATATAGTGGCATAAAATCGAGGTCCAGCTTACGTCGTCAATTGAACATTGGCTGTTAAAGACAGATAAAGTAAGTGGGGGAGGCTCTGTTTTGTTTGAATTATAAGTAAATATATTGTAATGTAAATCCGAAACCCCACTTTAGAGTAAGAAATGAGTCAATATTTTGAATTTTTCACAGACAATAGCTACCTGTAAGTAAACTCTGGTGTAGTGTGGGCAGGGCCAGAGGGGTGATTGCTCTGGGCACTAGATTTTTAGGGGCGCAAAAAAATTAATTAGGTTGAGAAAATGCATTCAAAACTAGAATTTATAACAGCTGGTGATTAAGGAGGAGGCACAATAGTTTAAATTGCTCCTAGGGTGCTCAAAACTCAGCCCACATCATTACCTGTAAATGTTCTTTACTATGGTGCAAGCTAATTGTGTGGGCCAATCCTCCTTCTCCGTGTGGTAACACCAGAGACAAAGCGGCAAAGTCTTGACACTGCTCAGAGGCGAGAAATTTAAAAACAACAAAAACTTTCTCTGAGGAAATTATCTTTTTACCACCAAATCATAATAAACCTCTGACTCGCTCTCACACCCATGGCCATAATATAGGGTCAAAAGGTCATTGACATTTTACCAGCAAATCATAATAAACCTTTGCAATGGACCTTTTTTGATGATAGGCAAGCTGTCCTTGTAAAGAGATTTCAGATCAGCTGAGATGAGACCATTACTCACAGATTATCAGAAAAATAAAATTGCAAAATACAAGCTGAGATTTGCTTAGCAAAAATCATCCCAGTCTCTCTAATCCATGGCCGTCTTAAATAAATTGGATATTTTTCAGGGCTCACAAGTTTTGTTTGTGCCATCTTAGCAAACCTCTAAAACTCTTGATGGTCTGATCTTGCACAATGGGGTAAAAACTGATTGGTTATATTCAATGCCTTGAAGATCAAGCTACATTCCATCATCACCGATCTGACTGTGAATTACCAACAATCAGGACGAATAGAGATCCTCTCGGGGAATTACCATGCCTTGAAAGACTGTTGGGTCTCAAACTTACATCCAATCTCAAGTGGAACTTGTACATACGATCCATTGCTAAGGATACAGGTAAAATGGCCGGCTCTCTCTACTGCTCGAGTAAGTACCCGACTCCTCCTGCTATCCTCAGATCAGACCAAAAATGGTCAGCTCACTGTACCATTCCAGTAAGTACCCGACTCCTCTTGCTATCCTCAGATCAGACCAAAAATGGTCAGCTCACTGTACCATTCCAGTAAGTACCCGACTCCTCCTGCTATCCTCAGATCAGACCAAAAATGGTCAGCTCACTGTACCATTCCAGTAAGTACCTGACTCCTCCTGCTATCCTCAGATCAGACCAAAAATGGTCAGCTCACTGTACCATTCCAGTAAGTACCTGACTCCTCCTGCTATCCTCAGATCAGACCAAAAATGGAGTCCTGTTGTCATATTTGGGCAGGAGCTGCCCAGACCTCGCTCTCCAAAGTTGATAGTTGTAAAGCATCTCTGAGCCCTTGTGGGTGATGAACTATTCTCCATCCTCTAACCTCTTCCCCGCAGGAGGGATGTGGCAAGCCACGTGCTGCTCTACCACTTCTTCCTAAGAAAGTGCTCAGACGAACTACATTCTCTAGTCCTGCCGAGGCAAACCTTCACAGCAAAAACATGTCATATCACTTACATAATAGCAAACCGCTCACATTCCCTCTGTATTTCATCAGTGAGAAGTAAATTCCACTCAAGCAGTTTCTTCCTGTGAACCACTGCCCTGTGGAACTGACTCACAACAGGATGTTTCCCCAATCACTATAATCTTAACCTGTTCAAGGCTGAGGTTAACTGCTATCTTCCCCTCCTATACACACAAATGGCCTCCTAATGTAACCTTCTATCTTGAGTGCCCCTTGATCTTGTAAAGGATGAACCATACTGTAAAATAAATAAATAAATTTAGTTCTTGATCTAACTTATTAGGGAAACAGGTCATTAAGACCTGACGGAATACAAAGTCAGTTTTTACCCCATTGGGTAGTTTGTGCAAAATCAGAAGAGAGATCCGATGCCAATCTCTGACCATCAAGAGTTTTTGAGGTGCACTTGTATATTGGCACGGATGTTCACAAATGATCTGAGCATATTCTTAGGCAGATCATTTATATAGATCAAAAAGAGGGTTGGTCCAAAGTGTGACCCCTTGGAGACACCTTAGACAGTGCGAATTTAAGTACAAATACTGAGATAGCACAATTTAATAGACCTAAACTTTTGGGCCCTGAAAAATGTCCAGTTTATTTAAGATGGCTCTGGATTAGTGAGACTGGTGTGATTTTTGCTAAGCAACTCTCAGTCTGTATTTTGCAATTTTATTTTTCTTGATAATCTGTGAGTAATGTCCTCAACTCAGCTTGTGCCTTCTGGGACAAAAGGAGTCCCATCAAGTATATAAACCTGAAAATGGAGACTTACAATACCCATCAGATTTCAAATCAGATCAAAAATTCAACCAGAGATGTCATAACCTTTCAACTTGTGAAGAAGACCAGAATGCCAAACCCTATCAAACTTTGATAAAGAACAGCATATCAACATCTCTATGGGTCATTTAATTTACTAAATATTTTGAACACAATTTTATGGCTTCAACTAAATATATTTTGAACACTATGCTTTTAGCTGCAGATAAAATGTATTGTTGGTCATTTTACTATGAATATGTAATGCTGGTGTTTTTACTATAAAATGTATTTTTATACTTTCATAGTGTTTTGTTTTTGTTTGGGGATTCACTATTTGCTGATAGCTGGGACCCTAACAGGTGCCACCATCTGGGGTCAGGGTGGAATTAGGAACAACAGCAATTAAGAGGTGGTTCCATGCTCCTCAAATCCTTCAATCTCTTGCTCAGAGGTCTTGCTGCCAGATGTAGTTTATTGTCAGACCCAGGACTAAAAATGAATTGTAGAAAATTTTATTTTATGGTCAGTAAAACTGATTGCTTTCATAAAAATTGATAGCAAATTTGAATCCATTAAAAATTCAATTTTTCAACATAAAACTTGTCTAGATTAAATATTAAAATATAGGTTTCTTTATTTTTATTGTTTTTTTTTTCTAATGTTTGGAATAAAAATAAGAAAGGAAACAAAAGAAGAATGGACATCTAATGTTTCTTGGAGCTGAGAGAAAAACAAAATGATTTATAAAAAAAAAAAGGTTAAATTTCTTTCTTTTTAAGTTTTGTCATGAAATAACATTTATTTCCTTTTAAATCAACTCAAATGACAACTTACACCTGATCTCTTCCTCTTCTTCTTCCAGCTTTTTGATTACAAATCGTTCACCTATACTTACCTGCTCGCTGATGCTGAAAGCATGGAAGGCGTTATTATTGATCCTGTCTTGGATAATGTTAAAAGAGACTTGAAGATTATCAAGGATTTAGGGGTGAAGCTTCTTGCTGCAAGTAAGTTGAGAGGAAAAGAAATTTACAGGATTCAGTTTGCATTCTGAAATGCATGCCTTTTGCAGTACTGGATATAATTACATTATCTTTTTTAATACTAAAGTTCACTCAATACAAGACTTGAGAGCCACTTAAGGTAGAGTTACTGAATAGCAGTAGTTTTAAGGAAGTTGTCTTACAGTAACAGTTTAATCAAAATTCAGTTCCTTTGTGAGCAGAGTCTTAAGTAGCTTAACAGTCTAATCTTTGCATGGCACTCTCTTCTACAGGTGTGGCAGATGAAGCTGGAATGTAGAAGGAAGGTTTGAGATTGCTCTCTCTGCTTCCTGTGTTTTTTCTTCTGATCTCCAACAATTGGTTTTGTGACTTCTCTTTGAATAGTATAGCATCACTTGCTGCGGCCTTGGGCTGGACATTCCTAACTACAAGGGTCGATGCCTGTGAGTATCAGTTTCTTCTTGAAACTTACTGCAGGACAGTCTACTTTATGGCGTCCCATGACCAGCTCACTGTACATGGTCTTTTTGTATATGGCCGTCATATGTTTGATGTATATGATCCAGCTATCAAAAACAAAAGTTTACTGAATGAGGTGTGTGATTGTGAATATAAGAAGCGGTGGTAGGAAATGAAGATTATGAGGATAAGAAGGATAGATAATGATTGACCCTTGACTTGAAAAGGTTAAGACTGTAGTATTCAGGGAAGCATCCACGTGGGGGTCTGTTCCACAAGGTAGCAGTTCTTTGGAAATGGGCTCTTGGAGTATAACTTGCTCCTTACAAATGGAATACATCAGGTACGAGATTGGATTATCTCTGTGAAATATAAACCAAACTAAATCCGTTTTTGCATAAAATCAATCTAATGAGTTGATATGTCGTTAAAAATGAACTTAAACTTACACTGAGTTTCAATCCATCACAAATTTTCTTACTTTCATAAAAGGACTGTAATTTGAATGCCATTGATTCATTTTGACCCTTCGTTGGTGAAGGGGTAGTTATGTGTTGTCAGTTTATATTTCAGTCTTTTTGATTTATATCCCTTAGCATTTTCTCATATTGGACTTTCATAATAATTTCTTTATAAGATAGTAATATCAAATCTAGAATTTTAGTTGGGTTCAAATATTTTCATAACCTTTTAATTATAAAATGATTACCATGAGTAAACTATTTGATAAATCTTGGTTCATATTACAAATCCAGTTTCATGTTTGAATTTTATTAAAATTCTAATAATAAATTTTTAATACAATAAAAATTGCCAAAGGAATATAAAATAAAGAGACAACATTATTTTTTTTTTTTTTTTTATATGTTAAACTTTGCTGAATTGACTATTCATATCTAATATAAATTTTTTTTTTTTAATGTCATTTTTAAAGTTAATGATATGTATTCAAAGTATACTATATGCATAATTCAGGGTTTATTTTTTATTTTTTTTATATCTCTCTTTCTTTATCCCTCACTATTTCTCTCTCTCTATCTCTCTCTGTATCTTTCTCTTTCTCTCATATCTCTTGACGAGTGGACAGAGCAATTGCTGGAGGGTCCATCTATGAACCTTATAGAAAAATTTTATATATATATATATATATATATATATATATATATATATATATATATATATAAATAAATCTTTTTTTTTTTTTTTTTACAGGTTCTCGTCATATATATATATATATATATATATATATACACACAAATATAGATAACTATTCTTGTTTCGAAAAACGCTCGAATTTTTGATTTGCCAATAATCAAATCAATCTCGAGGGGGGAAAAAAAGGTTTTAAAAAAAGAAAGAGCTACAAACATGAAAGTCTGTCGAAAAAAATCGCACAGCTGCAGGCTTGAAGCCCAAAGAAAAAACCCCGATACGAGTAAACAAATAACTAACAAAAGAGCTCAGTACAACCGTGGAGCAGACCTAGATAAACCTAGTGAGCGAGACAAACCTACCTAGGTTTCACCTAAATGGATCGTCAGGGAAAGCCGACTTTCCCTGACGATACATTTAGGTGAAACCTAGGTAGGTTTGTCTCACTAACTACTAGGTTTATCTATCTATATATATATATATATATATATATATATATATATATATATATATACATATACACTAGCATTAGCACCTGTGTAAAAAAAAAAAATGACAGGATTATTTATGTCAGTTTCCTTTGCATTTCTCAGTTAAATATTAAAAAAACCCAACTGATATTGCTTTGTCTATTGCAATCTCTTTCTCCTCCCCCTTTCCAATTGACATCTTTCATTCTCATAAAAGTTTTGTAGTTTTCAGTTTACAAAACCAGTATAATTAAAAATCTTTTAAGTGATAAAATCACCTGATTAACTGTCCTGTTCAAATTTAATAAAAAGTTAAGAGAAAATGCCTACTTTAAATTTAAAATGTGTATGCATGTATATATATATATATATATATATATATATATATATATATATATATATATATATATATATATATATATATATATATATGAATGTGTATGCACATATATATTGTTGCTTGTTGGTTTTAGATGGTGGGGTAGCCATTTGCATTCCCTATGTGGTGCAGGTGAAGTCTGATTCATCAGAAACCTGGAAGCATTAGGCAAACTCGCCACAGGTTTGGCTGTTATCCTCCTCTATGGCTGTCTTCAGGATCTCATAATTCAGAACCTGTGGCCAGTCACTCTGGGGTTCATTACAAAGGGACAGATCTCCCAACCAAAAATTCGGGAACCAGTGCTAGCATTATCCCTCAAAGGCTTGGTGTATTTGGAGACTCGACACAGCTATGGGCAAACCCACATTAGTCATAAAGCAGACAAAACTGAATGAACTGCTTTGACCCTGCCATGTTTCCTTGCCGCTACTAAAGCTCTGGCTGATGTGTATTGCCCTCCCCCTCCCTTAGCACTTTCCTGGCATGTTACGCACTCACTTGCATATCTGTGATCTCTTCTTCCTACACAACACGAGAAAATGAATGGCAAGGACTTTTTCGAGTACCTTATATAAACGGCTGATAATTAATGGTGGCGTCGGCTGTTTTGTCTGACTGATGGAAGGTGGGGACACCCTGATGAAATTTAGCTTAAAGTGAATTTATGAAAGGTACTTATTGAAATTGAAATTCTAAACATTGTAATGAGAAACATGTTCTGATACTTTTACTTTTTTTTCCCCACCCCCAGTGAATACTCACGTCCATGCTGATCATATTACTGGCAGTGGGGTCATTAAGGAGAAAATTGCCACTTGCAACAGTTTCATTTCCATCCAATCCCAAGCCAAAGCTGACAAACATTTTGATCATGGAAACTTGGTCAAATTTGGCGATTTTAACTTGGAATGTCGCAGTACCCCAGGACACACAAACGGTAAGGCCACCCCACAATATGTTTTGGGGATTTCAAATTCTTCTCTTGTCCAGTGCTATGCTGTAAAAATGAAAATGGTACATTTGAAAAAAAAACCCCAAAAAAAACTTTATTTTTTGTACATATTTTCATACCAGAATTCGATTATATTTTTGTTTGTTTTTGCTTATTATCTTCTGAATTTAGCATTGTGGGGTACAAAAACAAAATAATGGAAACCATCATGTTGTCATATATTTACAAAGCTTATCTAAGTCTGACACAAGGTCACAGAAATGGAGCACTAGTGAGGATTGCACTTGCTCTTATTTCTTTTTCTTTTTTTATTTTTTTTTGCAATAAGGTTCACCCTGTACAAAGCCGGAAAGTCATTTGTGGGTAGACGGTTACATTAAGAGGCGGTTTATACACAGATAGGATGGAGAAGAATAAACAATAAGGAATAAAAATGAGGGAAAACTTTCTAAAAGTAAATGTCTACTTTTTGCCTGTCATCTCAAAAATACTTGGCCAACTGAATTTATACCAGGTAATTTTAAAGAATAAAGCAAATTCTTTTGCATGTAAAGGGATCATTGATATTCCCTAATAAAAAGATTCCAAAATAGTTAAGTGGAAAGAGAACATAGAATATTGAAACAGTCAATGAATCCAAATTCCTCCTGCTGCAACTGGTCATTCCTGATCCAAAAAGGGATTGTACAGCTTCAATTGCATTGCCATATCTGCAAGTTGCATCCAATGGAACTATTTTTTCAAAATTTGTTCAATAATTCATTGTTATAAGTGTGTGTGTGTGTGTGTGTGTGTGTGTGTAGAGTAATGGATAGTGGCTCGGATTGAGGAATCGGAGAGCTGAGTTTGAATTCCAGTTGAATCCATTACATTCACTTATGTACTAATACCCTTGGGAAAGGTATGAATCCTCTTCTTCTCTCTCCAGCTATGGGTAAAATAGCAGGACAGACCGGGTTCTATAGCCTTGGATGGCAACTGGTCTACTGCAGAAAGAAATGGCAACCTATTGCAGGAAAAAATTGCCTTGTCAGTTATGTATCAAAAGATACATGATTGCCTATGCATGTATCACACATAGCACATAACTGACTGTGTATATCTAAGTGTTTATAGCATTAAAATTGTTTCACATTTTATCTTTGAAATCCGTATCATTGACAAAAGTACGAAAATGGGTTTAAGTCAGAGTGTACAGTATAAAAGGTCATAAAATTAAGATTAAAAGTTCTTCAACTCAAGCCCTAGAGATCCGGCTGTGTGTGAATTCTAAGAACACCATGAAAATGGCTGAGATTTTTTGAACTTGGTATTTTGTAATCAATTTATGTTAAATATTTACATGAAGACTTTTTATTTTATGATTAATAGTCAAATGCAACTAATTTAGTAAGCAATGCTCTTTTTTTGTGTCCAGCAACAATAAAAACATTTGTGAATCTGATTTTCTGTAAATCTAACGCTGAAAAACTCCTTAAAAAGATTCTCTGAAAATGTTGAGATGTTCCTCTTCTACAAAATTTTAATCTATCGCAGTGATCTGCAATTTGTTGAGCAATCCTGATGATTATGGCGAAACACAGAAATTAGCTGACAATGAAATAAAGAATCCTTGAGCTGACGAAATGGCGAATTGAATGAGATGCTATGGAAAATTCCGTCCAAAGGTGTTTTGGAAATAGACCAACCAAGAGGCGAAATACGTCAAATATCAAAATTCTCCATTCCCAACACCTGGGCAGGTAGTGTTGCAAGGTAAATTAAATTCATGTTTAGACAAGTGCTATAAAGTAGGTAGATACTTATGTGCAGAGAAGACTCCCAATGAGCGATCGGATTTACAAAATGTGACCTGGACATGTGATAAGAGCTGAAATTGGCTACTAAAACATTTCTTTGGTAGAATCTACAATGAAAACATTCAAAAAGGCTTGCTTGTAGGTTGTGGTGGCTGTGTTGTCTTACATACGTTGTGTGTTTGAGTTGGGAATAACGTGTCTCTTCTATATGACTCCAAGTAATACAAAGAAACAACAAAAACTAATACATGTACAAACAAACGATAATGTATTAACAAGAAAGGTATACAAGTGACAAAGACAATGATGTGTGTAACAAAAGAACATGAAAACCTTTTTGGTTCAAGAAAAATGAATGTGTGCATGTACACATGTGTGTGTTTGTTTATTCATGTATTTCCCAATGGGAAATGTGTTGACGTGTAAGTGGAAAAAGTAAGAAGAGGCTACGAAAAATGATTGCAGAGCACCCCCTAGTAGCGATTTCAGGAAAGTAAGTGGAGGTAACTCTACAATATTAACAAACCTTTGACAGCATTGAGGTATCAAGCAATGCACAAACAATTTAATCCCAAATCTGCCAATAAACCGAGAAAGGAAAAAGTTGATCTTTCAAGTCGATGCGAGTTGCCTTTTTACAATGAAAAGTCTTTCATGCTTTTTATTTATATTGCTTGGATTGTTGTCATCGTTATTGTCATATCCACAACATTTTGGCCCAGTAGATAAGTGTTGGTTGGATCCAGTGACTTGACCCAAAGTGTTGTGAGTTCAATACCTGGCTACGGCAGTAGTGAAGAAAGAAAAAGGAAAAAAGTTGAGTTAAAGGGAGATAACTGAGACATCCAGAAGAGGCATGGCACGTGGAACTTAAACAATCTACTCCGGTGGATGAAATAAAGGGTTCAGTTCAAAATTCGAATCATCTGAAGAAGGCCGGTGTGTACAATGGCCGAAGCATTGTGAACATGTACAAAAGTCTGAGCAACATAACTAATTACAATGCCTCATCTCAGAAATATAGATGGATACTTTTGTGCCTCGGGGATCACTTTTCATCTATAATAAAGTGGCTGCTGCTTTGCCACCTGACTGGCACACCATAGAAAATATTGGGGGAATGATGGTAGGAGAGGTATACACTTGCAACCCCCAATATTCTATCCCTCAAACTATGCTCTCTAAATTGGTAAACGAGAAGAAAGTCGATGCCATTCAGGTTTGAAGACAAAAGCTGCAGCAATATGATCATGACAAAGGATTAACACCAAATGTTAAGTCTTATTCAACTTTGGACTTTGTCACTTACCGTTGACCACTAAAACCCTCATGTGAACATTACCCTCTGCATTTTCATGTCAGAGACACAGCCAGAATAGCACCAAGGTGGGTGTTTATATATCTGCCCATTATATGCACCACTCCAAATCATAGTGAAGAAGAGCATGTGTTCACATGTTGGACGAATTTGCAGACAGGTCATCTTTTGTGTCCCGTCCTGGGTTTTGAGGAGCTTGGAACCACCTCTTAATTGCTGGTGTTCCCAGGTCCACCCTGACCTGGGGTGGTAGCACCTGTTAGGGTCCCAGCTATGGGCAAATAGTTAACTATTGCCAGCAATAAAAAATCTTGTTGGCATTAAATAACCCATTGAGGTTGATATGCTGTAAAATAAAATAAACCAAACCATTAGCTCTTGTGTCAACTTGCCTTTTCTGAAATGAATACACTTTTTTTATCTTTATTTTTTTTTTGCTTTTTGATCTGATAAATCCTAGAAAGGTGAAACACATTATCAACTCTAGTTTCAATGAAATGTTTTCCATTAAATTTGTTAAAATCTTTATTGTAATTCTAGATCCTATTTTTTTAATTTAACAAAAGCTGCAGCAATAACATGGTCATGACGAATTAAAATTCTTAAAAATTTCATCAGAATTCTGTATCCTATTTTGTACATATATTGTTGACACAGAAAGCACATGGACAGACGTAAAAACAAATCTTTTACTTCCAACCCATTCTGAAGGATTTGCTTTGGATTCATTTCAGAAAATTTCTTGCTTTCAAGCTGTCATCAAAATGAAATGAGGATTTATCTTTTAATTCGATATAGAAAAGCTGAGAAAAATATATTAGAAAATTTGGACATAAACTAAAATATAAATATATATATATATTAAAATGAAGAGAGAAACTGCAAACGTTTTTTACTGTAATGTGGATTTTTGTTTTTTTAAAAAGAAATATGCTTTATCCATATTACAAGCAAAAAAACGTTTAAAGGTTTTCTTCTTTTTTTAAATACAATTACAAAAAAAGCTGAACTACTATATATATATATATATATATATATATATATATATATATATGAAGGAAGAGGTTATAGTAGTTCCAAAGAGAAAAGTGTGTGTATATATATATATTGAAATGGACAAAGTCCGACAATTATTTTAAGACATTTTTATGTTTATACATTCTTTTTATAGATACAAATATAATAAAATATATTGTTCATAATAAACAGTTAAAATTTCTCGGACATTCAAGCCGGTAAATGTTGTTTAATACTGTTCATTATAAACAGATAATTTACTTAAATATTTGTATCCATTGTCCATTTCATGTGTGATGTCATTTGTATACACCATGAACAGATATGAATGTACGCGAGAGAATCATGGAAGATTGTAGTTTGAAGACAGTAAAAATCGACCTTGCTAACCGAATGTTTCTCTGTGAGCCAATCGGTTAAGGCATGTCAGGGTATATGATGATTCCGTATAGGATACAGGTTTGATTCCTGTCGGAGGACGAATATTTTCTATGAAACTTTCTCGGACATTCAGGCTGGTAAATGTTATTAATACTGTTTATTATAAACAGAGCATTTACTTAAATATTTGTATCTATAAAAACAATGTATAAACAGAAAAAAAGAGAAATATAGATTTTTTTTTTTTTTTTTAAAACCTTTTTTTTCACATTGCCATTTTTGTCTACTTGAACCCTTTTCAGGTTGTTATTCTTTTGTTTGGCATGAAAAGAGTATGGTCTTCACAGGAGATGCAGTTCTAATCCGTGGATGTGGTCGGACGGATTTTCAACAAGGTAAGCATTTTTGACAAATTTTCTTTTGTTGTTTTTGGAATTTCTGAAAATGTCAGGTGAAAGGAAGCAGCAAGTGTATATTCTCTGTGCAGCTATGCAAGTAATGAAAAAGAAAGTGTGTTAAATATTCTTTTTGAAAATTTCATTGAAACCGCAACAGAATTGTACAAATCGTAACCGTCTGATTTCAAGACGTCTTAATATTCTGTAATTTTCATCAAAATGAAGTTGTTCCTACAAAGCAATTTTTCCAGCGTTGGCTAGCATCACTCAATGGCAAATTATCTGAAATAATGTTTTTCGTAATCTTTGAATACCTGTGCATTACTTTTTGATATGCAAAAATAGATTAATACAGATATTGTGGGGCCAGAAACTGGCAAATCTTGTCACACAATGTCATGAGTTTCAGTTTAAATATATCCTTTTTGAAAATATTGATTTTTTGGGATGTCAAGTTTTCTGCAAAGTGTAACATGAATTTTTATCAATAAATCTAAACGTTTAAGACAGTATTTTGGATTGCTGAAGAAATTATTTTGACTTTTGTGATCTTCTCTAATCATTAATTTATATACTTTCATATCATGTGACTTTTGAAGGGAGGGAGGAGGAGGGGAGGTGCACATCATACACAAGATATAACATTAGCATATTTACTCCTGGCTATGCTGTTAGTACAGCTGTATTTAAAATAAATATGATTTTGATAAAACAGATGTTTTACTTAACTGTGTCCAATATTAATGTAGGTAATATTTTCATATTAGTGTCATACTTTAAAATACAAACATAGCAAATATGCATCTTTTTTTTTATTGTTTATAAGATATTTAGCAGTTTCCCTGTTCAGTTGTTTATGATTGTACGCATTTCTCTTTTACTTTTTTTTTTTTTAACTAGATGTGATAAAGAGATTGGTGGTGGGGAGGTTAGTCTATTGTAATTTAGTCTCAAGAAAAGGAACTTGCATGATACATGAAATACATGATAAATGGGGACACAAACATTGAGAAAGTTCCACAGGTAAGAAAAGAAACTCCTTTTGAGAAATCAGTTTTCATGTACTACTTCACTAAACTTGTTCCCCACCTCCCAATATTCAATTTCTTATCTTGCCAAATTTTTAACAATTTCCAACATGACATTTCCATTGCTCAATAGCTTCACAAATTTTATTTTTTCTTACAACCCACTTTAGATACAACATTAATAACTATGATTTGTTGAACAGGGGGAGTCCCATTTTAAGAAACACCATTGGCCTCCCAAATTCTTTTCATTGATACCTGGTGTTATCCCAGGCAGCTCAAGAGTCCTGTTCAGTGTTAAGAATCAGCTAGATTCTTAAGAACTGATATTTTAAGCCATGTCAATTGTCTTTAAGAAATATTTAATCTTGACGGTTTCCAAATGAAACATTTGTGTGTGTGTAGGGGGGGGGGAATACTATTTTAATTCAACGTTCCAACCCTGACTCCTTGAGTTATGAATCTGCCCTCAAATAAAAACCTGACTATCCCTTGCGATATCACAGACAGGATTTGAATGCTCTCCACACTTTTTTTTTTTAATTTTTGTTTGTTTGGCTCTTTGTTGAGCTTCCAGGAGAATCTCATGTACCTTGTTATTACTTTTAAGTCTTTTGTTATCTAGGGGGAAAGAAAAAACAAAACAAAACAAAAACTTCTCTTGGAGAAGTGGGGATCTTATGAAATACATATACCCCCCATAGCTTCTCAGATTTTAAATATTTGAAAAGAAATAAGATGCTTTTTACCTCCTCATAAATTGGATTTTGTTGATTCTTTTTCTTTCTACCTTCCTTGCAGAGGAAGATTGGAGAGCTGACCAGTCAAAACATGAGGAAAAGAAGAAAAAAAAAATGAATTGATTCTATTACAGAAGATTAAAGTCTGATTGTGCCTGTTTAAGTTAACCCTGGAAAGGCAGGTGCCTTCCTACATAGACACAAGGCCATAACTTCTATCTTCATTTTTGTTGCCTTTTCATATTTTATGAAATGAATTTTGGACATGTTTCTTTTAAATTACAAAGGTGATAAAGCCACTAAGACAATGGGTTACTGAGTGTGAGAGGATAGGGTAAAACAAAACAAACAGGAATTAAGACAAGATAACAAATGACATTGATTTAAATGCAAAAAGTTTTTGGGAAGGAAGCAATAGGAGAAACTGTTAGCATAGAACTTATGGTTACATTTAATAATTAGAAATGTAAAATGATGAGACCTAGTTGCCAATCTAGTACTGCACTTAAATTAATAAATTCAAGCTACCATAGAGGAAAGTTCATCAGAACAATTAGCATAAAAGTATTTATAGAAAAGTAAAAGGGAAGCTTGATTACTGAGCAAGAGACACCATCAGGTAAAGCCTGATAATATTGCAAATTCTTTTGGACTTGTCAGCAATACCCAATACATAGACGAATGGTAGATTTCTAAAAAGGTGGAAAACAGATTCTGGTGCGAAAACAACAGTGCAGCAACTTGTCATCACCCCACCCCAGATATTGATTTTTAAAAATTAAAAATGGCAGTTTGAAAGTGCAAAAAATTAAGAAACAATGCGCAATTTTGCTCAATTTCTCATGATTTTACTTTTTTTTCAGGTGATGCAAGAAAATTATATGAATCTGTGCAGCAACAGATTTTTTCTCTTCCCCCACATTACTTATTATTCCCAGGTCATGACTATACAGGTAAGACGTGTTCCTTTTCACTGTTGTGGCTTTATTATTTCCCTTCCACAGATAAACATTAAAAAAAAATTTTTTTCCCCCCAGGGCAAATGATGAGCACTGTTGGAGAAGAGAAAAAATTTAATCCTCGTCTTTCTAAATCAAAATCAGAATTTGTGAAAATTATGCAGGAATTGCAGCTGCCCTACCCTCAACAAATTGGTGAGTAACTGAGTCTTTTTTTTTTTTTTTTCTCCAAATCTGGATGAAGTGTAGTAGACAAAAATGTTCTTTGTATTTTTAATTATTATCTACTTTTTCTTCTTTTTCTTTCCAGACAAAGCATTGCCTGCCAATCTATTGTGTGGCATTCAACCAACAGAATAAGAAGCAACCAAATATTATGAGGGTCTTCACATTCACCTTTGACAATAACTTAGATTAAAATAATAATAATAAAAAAAGGCTGTAATAAAAGAAAGTGTAACATTTAAAATTGTTGCCTGGAATTTTATTCAACTAAGAAAATGTGAGATAATGTCCATGAAGATGATTGGGAGAGGGGAAAAGAGAGAAAAAAAAATTAGAAACGCCCAGTTCGTCCTTCTCTTTCTCTTGAACGAGATCTTCTCTGGTTCCTTTCTCTACTCCTAGACCGGGATCGTCTTCTTTCTCTACTCCGACTACGGTTTCCTCTCCGAGGAGGTTCTTGACTTCGACTGCGACTACGGCTTCTTCGCATCGGCGGAGAGCGAGATCGTGACCTAAAAAAATAAAAAATGACAGATTATCATTGATGCCTTTATTCAAACCAATGTTATGTGCTTGACATAAATTTCTAAAGTAACTTACTTTCTCCTGCGCCTGGTTCTACCATACAATTCTCTGCGAAGTTCTCTGGAAATGGGTTTCAAGTGCATAAAATTGCAGAATCCACCACGAGTACACTCTCTACAAACAAAAATCAAAATGACAATTATCAATTTAAAAAGCATTATCAATCAACTAGAGTAATTTTGGGAAGATAAAGTAACTTACCCCATTTCGTATTGACGGCAACAAGCTTCTCTGAAGTCTGTGACGGGAGAAAGTTCAGCATGAATTGGACGACCATTAAACCAACGATTGTTCAAATCTTTCACTGCTTTTTCTGCATCCTCCTCATAACGAAACTGGGAAAAAAAAAAAAAAAAAAAGTCAGCATTTTTTTTTTTTTTTATTTCGAAATATTGTTCTCATCTAGAGTGCCATGAAGGCTATTACAGATACAACGCCGTGCCTATAACCAAGATGAGAGCAATAGTTAAAAAAAGAGTATATTGACAATTGTTCAGCTTGAAAATGAAATATAAAAATTATTAAATGTTCAAAAGGAAAATACAATGAAAACTTAAGCATTTTTTGCCTCTTGCCTTTTTAATTGAAACAGAATAAGAAGTCACAAATCAATTTTGATAAAAGCCACAACAGTAAGAAGGCATTCTTTCTATTTGATTTAAATTGAAGTTACCTACCTTGACGTAAACATTCCCAACAAGATGATCACCAAGGTTATCGCAGACATTCATTTCCTCAATTTCTCCATACTAAAGAAAAAAAAAAAAAAAAAAAAAAAAAAGGAAAGAGAAATGAATGTAAGATTAAAGCTTTTAGAATCAGACATTCTGAGAAAAGGTTTTGTTCGGGTTAGAAAAACAGAAAGCAAAATGGCCAGAGTTCTTTCAAGGGCAGAGGATGACAAAATGTCAGCTGAAGGAAGCCAAAATATTCTCATTGCAACTTTGAATAAATAACTTGGAGGGACTCGTTTTTGAATAAATAACTTGGAGAGACTCGTTTTGTGAATTCCAATCCATTGAATGAAAGGGAAGCAAGCATTTTAACTTTAGAATATTTTGGCAGGATCAGCATCATCATTGGCTCCATATAAAATTTAAGAATCTAAAACAAATTAAGGAAGCATTTTTAAGAATAAGGAAACTTGGATAGCACAGAACTCTGACCAATAAAAAAAAAAAAAAAAAACATTAAAAAAAGGTAAAGAATTATGAAAACATCTCTAACTAAATGGATTCATTAGAAGAATAAACATGAGTTTAGGATAGTGGAATTGGTAGGAATAAAAAAAAACAAAAAAAAAAAAAAATCCCAAATTATAATCAAGGAATTAAAATGTCTAGATTTTCCTTTTAATAAGATTCTAAGAAGCCTTTATTAAGGATCACAATGTTAAACCCAAAACCCATCAAGACAAGTGGCCATCATTGAATGCCCAAACAAGTAGACTCCCCTCCCTCTTAATTCTAGACATTGTCTTATAGGAAAATCATATTTTGTTTGAGAAAATAAACATTCTGAAATGTTAAGTAGGGACTCTCCAATCACAGAACTGTGTTAAAAGTGATGTTTCAAAGATTTTTATGGAGATGAAATCAAGTTCAGAAGGTAAGGAACCACTTTAGTCAATCTAGTCACACACATTCTAAAATCCAAATGTTTGTAATAAAATTATCAGACTAGAAAAATAAAGCATTAGTTCTTAGACAATGAATGGTGTTAAATTAAAGTGGGAACACAGTCTTGGATGAGTGCAGAGTCTCTACTACTATTACCAACAAACAAAGAAAATAGCTGCCCACCCACCGTCCATCAACAAGTAGTGAAAACATTGTTCAAAAGATTAACTGAATGCCAAGGAATGCTTCCAATGCAAGATAGGCGTTTTAGCTTAGAATTATTAGGTACAGTTTCAAAAAGCACTGTGTAAAAATTTGAGGAAATTTATTTTATTTTTATGCCGAGAAATCCTTTTGAAGAAGAAGAAAAAAATACAGACCCCAAAAATAAAGGTTTGGGGATAAAAAGCTTTAAACATTACATTGAAGGAAGTTACCCAAGGCATTCAATTAACAAAATTGGGTAGAACTGGAACTTGTAAATGTTCCTATGGGTGATACATTGAAATACAATTAAGAATAACATTCAAAAGAAATCCATGATTGATATACTTCAAGGATATTGATTTAAAAAAAAAAAAAAAGGATGGGGGGAAGGACTGAAGTTAACTACTGAATAGCATTTGAAAATGGATTTTTGTTCAAAGTGGCACTTACACATTTTTAACAATAAAGATGGGAGAATACAAAAAGAAATTGTTTATGCACTGGGCAAGATAACCAATCTAATAATATATATATAAGAATAGTATTGAATAAACATAAAAAGATTAAGGAATTTTCCAAATCAACATTAGACTTAGAAAACTTTGCATTATTTTACAAAAAAAATTCCAAAGAGATTTAACTACTGGCAACAGACATTTTTTAAAAAAATCCATTTTAGTATATCCAACTTTAAATGCCATCATTTACATTAATACCAATTCATCTTTTATTTCTTTTTAATAAAAAGAACAACAAGCATTGAACTTAGGCTACTTGTAAAGAAGATAAAAATAGTTCTTGGAAGGGGATAAAAGCAAAAATCAACAATGGCTCTCTGGAGTCAAACTGAAATTCAACAAGTGGGAGAAACCTGTCTTAATTTTAAAGGAAACTCAATTTTCCATCTGTCCAATTATGTCTCATAATGCAACAACTATACGTGAAGTGTCAGTGGATGAGGAAGAACTATTATCTATGTAGTTTGAATTTAAGTGGTTTTTATCAGGTTTTCAATTGTTTTCACATTTTTAAGAGAACATTTGGTTCACATGTCAAACATTTTTATAAAATGTTCTCTGACAAAATAATTTCTCAATCAATTTATTGGTTGGAAAGATTACTTTAATGCAGGATTCAACATAATGCATCCCCCCATGTCATCAAAGCCAGATAATTCAATTTCAAATGCCCATCTCCTCCCAAATCCAACAAAACAACTGATACAAAATACAAGCAGCAATTAGAGAAACTCTAAACACAGTAAAAGCTGCTTTCTTTGAAAAAATACTGTAGGAGGTGGCATTTTGGGAAATATTTGTCATCAGAAGAAAGAATCAATTTATGTTTCCTTATCACCCCCCACACACACACACCCTAAACTTAATTCACCTAACATTTGAATTGAAATTTTTTTTTTTTGATAAAACCTACAGCAACTGCAAGCTGGATAACAACAACAAATCAAAGTATTATTTAAAAGCAATATCCCTGTCTGAACAGACTTACAAAAAGGTTTACAGTTAAGGTGGGAGATCACAAATACAAAAACTATTTGCACGCTAAGACTGAATAATTATTTCCTCTCCAAGTGTTATTTGTTAGCAAAACAAAATTGCAAAATAGTGGAGGAGGAAAAAACAACAAAAAAAAAAAAAAAAACACTATTTTCCTTGGGAATGAAAATTTCAGAATCTAGGTTGACAAATTCTATCATCAAAAAATCCATAAAACTTAAATCTAATTGCAAGTTTTGAGGAACAATTCAGCAATTGTGTTTTTAAATGCAAAAATATTTAAATGTGGGTAATTTGTTTTATTCAGCTTGAGAGATTATATGTAGAGGGAGTGGGAAGGACTGCAAACTTTGATAAAGCCAAATATTAGTGGTTGCTTCTAAGATGAAAAAAAGTTTATTATAAAAATTTCCATTTGGGGACTGACAGCAAAATCAGAATGGTTATAAAACTGATTAATAGAAAGATAAATTCATGTTAAAGACATGAAAAGTGTGTGTCCCCTTTTAAGAGAGAAAGCAAGAGAAAGATTAGAAATAGTTAAAGTGGGAAAGGAGAGAAGGTTTAGTCATTTTTAGTTGGAACTAAATTAGAAGTTAAGTAGCATTAGTAAGAGTTTAGAAAAAAAAATTTCTGAAATGTTAGTGAGAATCTTTGTTGAAACTAAATTAGATTTTAGCAGCAACATCAAAGCTTTGCAACAGAAAAACAATAAGGTTACCTTTTCCATTTCTACATAAACCTCTTCAAAGAATTCATCATAGTGCTGTTGGATTTCAAGCTCTCCCATTTGGACTAAATAAAAACAGAGGACCAGGAGATGTGGGATAAGAGGCATGTTAACCTATACGTATGTATATATATATAAATAACCAACAGGATATGAGGAGCACTAAACTAGCAAAGAATTACATATAGCTATGTGGACAATGTTCATCATCTGCTGGCTGAAATAAATATCTGAAAGAAAAGGGGGTGAATTAGCGGTATCAGAAATTTTGCCTCATTTGGACCAATGTGATAGTGCTGCTAGGTGGAGAATCCTTCTAAATAAAATGGTGGTGACGGGCAAGGCAATCTTTTGTTGCACATCTGTGTTTTGAAATGCTTGTCATTGAAAGAAAACGGCTAGAATGGTTATGAGCAAAAACTGTTCAGCCACAAAGGACGAGAAAGAAGGCAAAAAGAAGATAGTTTCCTCCAAACAATT